CCCCAAAACCCCAAAACCCCAAAACCCCAAAACCCCAAAACCCCTATATTGGCTACATTTATTGATGTTATTTATATTTATTAAACATGATCAATTTCCGTGCAACTCTTAATGGCGAAGACTTTTGAGAATTTAATATCCCTACTCAGAATTATAGCTATAAATATCTTAAAGATACAGTCAGAGAGGAGCTGAAAATCAATAGATCTGATGAGTTTGACATTTTTGGAAGTGATAATAAAGAAATCGATAATTCAAAAGTAAATCCTAACAAAAAGAATGAGTTAAAGCTAGCCCTGTTGAATAAGAAGTATCAGTCAGGGCTCCAAGCAGACATCGCCTCCCAAGACTTCTCTGAGGATATAAGCCAAGGGAAGGGCTCAAGAGTTGGAAAGAACTCCAATGGAACTATAGATGAGCTCAAAGACAAATCATTTATGAAGAAATATGGATGCTGTTCCAGCACTTGCAGGAAGACATTTATGACACCTGCTAAACTTTTTACGCACATCAGAAATCATTTCAAAAACAAGCCTTATAAGTGAACTCACCCTGGTTGTGGAAAGGCCTTCCTTTGTAGGGGCCAATTGAGAAATCATGAGAGTATACATCTTGATAAGAAAAGATTCACGTGTGAGTACCCCGGATGCAATAAAAGTTACAGTAAGCAATCAAGACTGAAGGTTCATAAAAGGATTCATACTGGCGAGAGACCATTTGCATGCCCAATTGAAGGATGAGACAAAAGATTCACTGAGAAAGGCAACCTTAAAACTCATATTAGAAGCCATACTGGAGAAAAGCCATATTTTTGCAAAGTATCAGGATGAGAGAAAAGATTTACAACTCAGGGTCACTTAGTTGATCATATGAGGAGGCATAATAATGAGAAGCCTTTCCAATGAAGCGTCTGAAAGAAAAAGTTCATGAGATCAAGCACTGTCAAAGTTCATATAAAAACTCACCCAGAAGCAGAAAATCCGAGGGTCATAAAACTTGATAAAAGCGAAATTAGCAGAGAGGAGAAGAAGGAGGAAATCAAAACTCAAAGCTTTCAAGTTAAAAAAGAGAAAGTAGAAGTGCCGAGAGCTATGGATAAGATGCCGTCATTTCAAAAGCCGAAAGAAGAAATAATTAAAAGGCATGTAGAAAATAGACAGTTCAAACAAAGTGCAGCTCCTCAAATTTTTGTGCCGACTGCTGAAATAGGAGAGGCTACCATGAACAGGCCTCTTAATAGCATTCCGTTCAAAAATATGAGGAAGCCATATCAATTAGGAGCTCCAGCGTTGCTAAGTTCATTTGATAATGCTTTTGATGCTAAGAATTTCAGACCTCATTCATTCCAGAAGAAAATATGCGTATCAGTTCCAACAGTGACAGCTCTGAATTCCAGAGAAGGATGTTTGATCAATAAGACCCAAAAGATAGGCCTGGGAAGAAAGTCTCAGTATGTTAATTCAGCATTAGAGAAACTTAATGAGAAGTTTCAAATAAGCCCTGATAAATTATTCTAAATTTTCAAATAGATTCCTTATAAAAATGATTTTCTGTATAATTCTCTCCAAGAATGGATTTTCCTTCATAAAATAGGGTATCATCAATTAGAATCCCCTCCCATTGATAACTTTTTCACCCAACTGAAAGTTTTAATAGAAATGCTAGATTTGACAGTTCTAGAAAAAAATTTAAGAAATTTTCGAAAACGACATAAAAATCCTAATTAATTTTATAATACCCAAATTTCTGCTTTAAAAGTTAGTAATTTCTCTTCCCTCACATCTCGGCCCCATTCCTCACCTTTGGTATCCCTAATCTTCTCCCACCAAATCCCTTCTCCAGGCCCACCTTCATCCCATTCTTACCCCTCTCTTCTATACTTCCACTGTTATCCCTCCCCAAAATTTCCCTAAAACCCGCTTCAAAAATCCCAAATTCCCCTTCTAACCCCCCAAAATCCCATTTGGCTTAAGCCAAATTTCAAAATTTGTTCGTAAATTTTCTAAAAATTCTTACGGGAGTCACGACCAAGTTCTTCAATTTGTGCGTGGATATATTATTTTGTTAAGAATCAGCCATCTTTGTTCGTAATGGGGTTTTGGGGTTTTGGGGTTTTGGGGTTTTGGGGTTTTGGGG